TGATGCTGCTGCTGCTGCTGATGATGATGATAATGACGATGATGATGATGATGATGATAACAATAATAATAATATTATTATTATTAATGTTAAACCATTAGACTAGCTTTTACATTATTAAATACGATATTAGTGAACTACAACGGTTTTAATTTATTGATATAAATGTTTATTTATTGCTAAAACGGTGTTATATTAGTGTTAACTACTAAAGTTATATATCTAGAATGCTAGTTTATTGCTAAACTGGTGTTATATATAGTATTAGTGTTCACGCTTTCGTACGCACCGATTCGGTCGCTGCGAATATACTGAAATAATTTCAAGAATTTCCGAAACCTTTCGCGAAACCTCCCACCATCGTTAATGACGTCATCGTTAATGACGTCATCCAGCCGCGCCCGACGTTTTCGCTCCCCCCTAACGACACCGTTGCCGTGGTTACAGCAGCGGCGGCGGCGGCGGCGGCGGCGGCAGCGACCGTATGTAACGCAGCAGGCGCGCTGCTCTTACATGTTACAGTTCAGCGAGGACGTGACGTCCGTATGTTCGTCACCCGTGCTGCCGCACCACGCTGCGTCACCGGAGTCGCCCAGCCGACACCCGGGCAAGGACAGCAGCGGAGAACGCATCAAAGAGGGCGCCAGGGTAGGTGGCGACGTCGCTCGATTGCGCTTATTTTGGAGTGGGGGGTTGGGGGAGGGTTGGGAGATGATGTTAGGGGGAGGGGAGGAGAAACCTGTATTCGAAGATTTCCAGCGGGGGAGGGTGGGTTGTCATTCATCTCGATTTTCTCTAAACGTCGGTTTTTACTTTCGATTCGCTCATCGTACGTGCCCACAGCACTAGCGTGGCGCCGATATCTTATATTATTATTATCATATTATATTAGCCGAGCATGTGTGTGACGTACTTTCTTCTCCATCCCCGTTCCCAGGCCCTGCTCAGACGCATGGGCAGCTTTAAGACAAAGAAGCGCGTCAAGGGAACGAAGCAGGACGAGCAGGCAGTCGTTATTAGTGGACCTATGCTGTGCGATGCAGAGGCCATGCAGGTGAGTACACGCACACGCACGCACGCACACACACACACGCACACGCACCCACGCACGCAGTCACGCATGCCCGCACATGCGCACGCACGCACACACACACACGCACGCGCA